TTAAGGCACATAAATGCAAGACACCAGACAACTTAGTTAGCCGCACCATAAAATGCAAATTACGTCCATAAGTGACATATGAATTTGCGACAGGATCGGTTAGGCGATTTTGAGCAAGATTAATGCACTAGGAAATGTCTCACTTCGCTTGACACACATTCAATTCATAAATAATTGCAATTAATTAACAATATTTGCATGCGACTTACACACAGCGAATAAATTCCAACTGACCCGCGAGTTCAATGCGGTAGGAGAATAAACAGTGATAATCGTTTCCAAAATATATATGCCTTATTTAAAGATGCCTCCGAAACACAAATAAATCAAAACACAATTATGTCAAATTTGCAATCACAAACAATAAATTGAATTGAGTTTTCGCGCTGACAATAAACAGATACGAGGCATTTGGCTTTTTTGTACAATAAATTATAAGCAAGACCGTGAATGGGGCTTTTAAAATATATTTATAAAATTAACGGAGGAATATATATGGGGTTCCTCGTCTGCTTCTTTCCCGGATTCTGCGTTAGCCGCTTCCGTATGCCAAGCGAAAAAAAACGAACGAAAACTCGCTGCAATCTGTAAGATACAAATTTTCAGCTGGCGCGGCGGAGCTAACACAAACCAAACCGATCGCTTAGAAGTCCCGAGACGAACTGAAAATTCACAGCCGAAACCGAAAGTCCAGTTAACGATCGCCGATCAGCAGCGCAGTTGGCAGTGCTGTCACTCGATTTCAGCAGCAATCACATTGTTTTCGGAACTTAAACACCTTTAAAATTCGGTAAATATTTACTTGGAGAGTATGATATAAATTAAAATACTAAATCTTCCGGTTATCATTAACCTATATTGTTGTTTATTATTAACCATGACTTTACATAAGGCGTTGTAATACTTTTAATTTAATTTCTGTAAGCAAATAGTTCTAAATAAAAATGAAGTACAACGATACCATGGGAAAAATAATAAATAATTTTTAAAATTTTTTTAATTTGAATTTTGTTTTAGAAGATTGGTAATTTGTTGTGTTAGTGTTTTAAAATATAAATATTTCATCAAGATTTAGAAATTTAAAAAAAAAACAGATTAAATGGATAAATATTGTGCCAACTTTATATATCTCAAAAAATGTATACTTAAAATTTATATGTATTACGATCAGTTTCAAAAAAAAGTGTATATTTCGTATATTCTATTTAATACACATTATTAGCGTAACAATAATGAATTAAAGTCGTATATATTTTCAATATGAACTTGGAATAGCCTTAAATAAATATTTTTTTTTTAAGTCGATTAAGTGATCTTCTCTGTCAGACCATTCGAAGCCCATGTTCGGTGCACATTCGCTGGTTCGTTCAAACGAAATTGGACCGATGGAACAGAAGTTGGCTCCTTTGTTCGATGCAACAGAGGATCGGGATGAGTTCCCCAGGCGGAACTACTAGAGGAGGTGGTGGGCGGTGGGTGGTGGGAGGTACAGTGGGCAGGTATGCCCTCGGCTGGTCGTTGGCTGGTTTTTGAGTACGTTACAGCTGTTTTGTTTATATGGGAACTCCGCGCCCCCGCTTCATCGCCTCGTCCAAACTATTTGGAGTTTGCGGTTTATGCTTTTTATGGTCCGACGTTGTTGTTCTTGCAGCCACCGCTGCTTTTGTTGCTTCTTCTCCGGTCGGTGGCAAGTTGTTAAGTTAAATATTTACCCGCCGCTGCCGGGCAGCCAGTTTAGTGCACGGCTCGCTGATCTTTCACATGGAGAATCCGAGAGCGGAGAACCCGTTTGCAGCCCTTCTATCCATATCGGGTGCTGGATCTGTCGTTGTCATCATAAGAGTGCTACTGTCAACCACACTCAACCAAAATACGATTCGGTCTACATCTATCTCAAGAGACATGGCTTAAACGCTGTAAAGTTCACGCCAGGTAAATCTTGATTTTAAGTAGAATTATCAGAAAAATTTAATTTTAGTGGCCGACACTTTCATTTTTCATTTCACTTTTTAATAGAAACAAATTTTAATTGCAATCACATTTTTAATATTAATATTTATACACCATAACAATTTTATTAATATATTATATTAACTTAAGAAACCATTTTTTGGTACTTACTTTCATTATACCCTTGCAGAGGGTATTATAATTTCAGTCAAAAGTTTGCAACGCAGTGAAGGAGACATTTCCGACCCTATAAAGTATATATATTCTTGATCAGCATCACCAGAAGAGTCGATCTAGCCATGTCCGTCTGTCCGTCCGTCTGTCCGTCTGTCCGTCTGTCCGTCCGTCCGTTTCTACGCAAACTAGTCCCTCAGTTTTAAAGCTATCTGCTCGAAACTTTCCAAAAAGTTGTCTTTCTATTGCAGGTAGTATATAAGTCGGAACGAGCCGGATCGGGCCACTATATCATATAGCTGCCATATAACTGAACGATCGGAAATGCCATAACTTTGATGTTTTTAAAGTTAGGAAGTTGGGTTTTATTTTTGGCAAATCAGTCTGAACTACCAAATTTCATAAGGATCGGCTGACTATATCCTATAGCCGCAATATAACTGATTGATCGGAAATGCCATAACTTTGGTGTTTGTAAAGTTAGGAAGTTGGGATTATCTATGGGTTTTATTTTTGGCCAATCAATCCGACCTGCCAAATTTCATAAGGATCGGCCGACTATATCCTATAGCTGCCATATAACTGAACGATATAAACTGAACTGAAATGACATAACTTTGGTGTTTTTAAAGTTAGGAATTTGGGATTTTTTATGAGTATTAAGAATGCATCATATGAATAACCGATCCGGTTTTGGAGAATATAATTTACAGAATATTCTGCAAGGGTATATCAACTTCGGCTCCGTCCGAAGTTAGCTTTCTTTCTTGTTTTATACTTACTTATACTTACTTTTAATATCGTAACTTAGTAAAAACGAATTTTCAAAGAAAGATATTTTAGCAATTCCTAAAAGTCCCTACCTATAAAATAAAATTCTTTATTTAAAAAAACTATTATTTTAGAATAATTTCAAATGAACTTTTTGAATTCAATATGAATTGATTCTATTTGCCTAACTTTTTATTCAAAAACTGTCAAAAATATTATATATTTTTCCAAGTGCATTGCCATATACTATTAGCCATTGGCAATGGAAAAGCTGGCCACTGTCTAAACGCTGAGCTGAGCACATTGGACATGTCAAAAGGATTTGCGCCTGCGCGATGAAACATCCAGCGTTCTGCTTTCGGCATCCCATAAACTGGTTGCACATTCCCTGGACGGCAGAATGGTCATAAATCGAACAACGTGGCACAGCCATTGACAGTTCGCTTAGCTGCACAAAGGTACGGTCTTCTTTTATTATTATTATGTGTGTTTCTTGGGTTTCCTCTACGCCGGCTATCTCAATTTATTGGGCTATTAGTAGCCACTTGAGTGGGGACTTTGGGGAACACCCACGCCGCGTTCCCAAATCGAATTCGAATAAAGCATAAAAGCTGATAACAAAGCCAGGTACCCCGCTCAGACAATTAACTGATAACAATTCATTAGCATTTAGTGTGGGTTGCCCGTCGTCAAGCCGTCATCGACATTATCGCGACCATTTTCATCAGTTGCAGCAGATCGTCATTTGAGTCTTTTCATGGAGTGTTTGGGTAATTTGAAAGCCGTTTCACGAGCTACAACATGCAGCCAAAATGTGTCTTCTTTAAAGGTAAATGTGGGAGGTAGCGTGAAATTGATTTCGTTATAGACCATCTAGTTTAATGAAGAGTATAAGAAAAAACTGTTGATTTTTAGATAAATACTAGTTAGGAAAATCTTTTTATAGATCGGAAATATACCATTAAAAAGGTGAAAACTATAAAGATTTTTTCTTAAAGAGTTATTTGTTACCAAAAAACAAGCCTATCTAGTTTATAAAGGTAAGCTATTAATTGTGATGATAAAAGAAGACACAAGAATTTATAGCCATATATAAAATAATAGCAATAAATTAAGAACAGCCATAAAATTGTTAGCAAATATTAATCTAGTGGCTATAAACAAAACTTTAACTTGCTCTAAATTTGTATAATTTAATTCCAAATAAAATTTAGTCATTTTGATGTTATCGGTGTGTCAGCACATTTGTTTGATTCTTGGCTGTTAAATCGTAACTTTTCGCGTGCCTTGTCAGGCATTATCCATGCTTCGCATCTGGGTTGGTTTGGGTTTTCTATTGGGGTTTGGATTCGAATATGGGGTGGGGTCGCTTGACCAGCAATCGTACGATCGTGCCTCAATTTGGGGCAATGTGCAGTGTCACTTGATGGGGGAAATCCGAAGACAAAGGGGAAAATGCGAGGAATTCAAACTGCGACCAAGAGACATGGCCATAAATCCGAAACGAATGTGTCAAGCGCCAGGCAAATTTTCCAACAAATTCCCTGAAATGTTCTTTTGACACTGTCAGCATTCCCCAACCCCATAATTTATATGATCACGCTTTTCCGAGACGACTGTTGACGGAAGCGCACGAATTGCCATTGCAAATTGAAACTTCTAGACAAAAGCTAAAATCGCCAACTAGCAAACTTGAAATAGTCAAATGATGATCCGGCCGTGCAATCGATCGTAGACTGTTCGACGATCGGCAACCTTGAGGCCTTATTAAGCCGTAACTTCCAGGTTGTTAAGGATAAGCAGCATTGATCATGCTTCGCATTAATAAGGGGATAATTTAGTTACTACTTATTACAAAATAGCTTCTTTTGTAAGCTTATTGCAAAAAAATCAATGAGCTTTCGAAACGAATTTGCATGATTATACATAAATTTATTTTAATCAAGTAATAATAAACCTTGTAGGAAAAAACTATAGCTATAGACATAGATTTTGTAAGCTATTCTCTGGAAACATAATAACATATAATAAATTGCGATTTATTAAAGAAAACTTACATTGAAAATATTTCCATTTTTCTAAACGGCTTTCCCTCAACACTCAAAGTTTACAAATCTATAGCAAACCAATTTAGAACTAGGGTCTAAAACAAATATTGACACACACACTATTTTTTTGGAATCAAAATTTTGTCCGGAATTCGGAAGGTAGCCAGCCATCAAACGACCAGGCCAATAATGCATCAATTTGCGTTCTGGAGGAGCGAGGTGAAGACGCACCAGCTCGATACGGTCTCGCCCATTTGGAAGGATTTGAATGCAACATTTTTGACGTGAGAGGGTGGATGTTGGATGGCCACCAGTATCATTAATTCCTGAATCTCCCACAGTGTCCTCAGCTGGAGTTGGCTCATCTACACCTTGTCCGCTCTGGTAATCCTCGTTTGTGCCTACTTTGCATATTGTGAACGTTGCCGCCGAACGGAGACAGTACGACGTCGTCGGGTGATTCAGCGAGCCCAGGAGCGGTACGAAAACTAGGCTATATCTTCATCAAGTTGTACATTTTTTTTAAAGCAATATCTATAACAATTTACATCCTTAATCCATCAGGCCACCCCAAAAACGTCGACCGAATGCGGCGTACAGGGATCACCAGATCTACCGCCATATTATCCTGAGCGTCGCCAAGTACATGAAGAATCCGGAGGGCATCCGTCCATTTATAGAAAACATGGACCAGCTATATCCTCTGCAACATACGTTGGCTGATCAGCAGCAAGTGGCTGAGCTCTCTCTGAACGTCAACGATGCGGAGCCAAGTACTGGAGAGGATTAATTACTAAAGTCAAGGTCGGCCAATACATGCCAGCTAAAGGCTACGTTTCTATCAAATTTAATAAGCAACCATTTCGGTATTAAATTTAATAAATATGTTTAAAACAGATGGGAAAGTAAATATATACAAGTAAATATCAATTAATTAACGTAGTTTCACTTTTAAGTGTATTTAGATAAGTCATAAAACAAGATGCTCGGTTAAAAACTTAAAATTTACTTTAAAACTTTTTGAATTATGTGTGTGTATCATTAGAAAACATTCTTATTTTTTGTTTAGCTTTATCGTATTAAGTTTTAAATAATCCTTTTTCCGAAGGTTTTCTACTTCATTCTTAACTTAAATACCTAATTTGCTCCGATGATCAGAAATCAAAAATCATTCTTTTAAATGTATTAACCAAGTCTTAAGAGTTTCAACTATAAACTAGTAATTGTAGAATTAAATTTAAAATTTACGAATTTTTTCGAAAAATTATAATGTTAAAACAAATTGCCAAGCTTCAATTAAAGCAAGTAAATAAATTAATAAATTTAACCACAAATGTTGGTGCATGCGCAGTGGGCGAATTCTTGTTGGCGGTGCCTAAAAATATGCAGTGCTATTTTTACCTGCCACAAATATAAACAATCCGCCATGTGCGCCGCCGAGCTTTCAGCTGGCCAAAGCTTTCGCTCTCGCTCTTCCTGTTGCTGCTTTCCAGCTAAAATGTGCCCACTCTTTCTCTCTCTCTCTTTCTCTGTTGGCCGAGTTTTCTCAGCGGCTGAGAAAAGCGATGGGAAAGCGGAAAAACAGTTGCCAGTTAGACAGTGAGCGCGTCGCACCTACGCACGCATCGAAAAGATTCAGCGGCAGCAGCAGCAGCGCGTTCAGTGGTTGTTGTTGTTGGAAACGGTGGAAACACACTCACACATACACACACAGACAGACACAACACCAACACAGTCAGCCAAACACACACACACGGCCAGCAAACACAATTTTCAGCTGGCCAAAAAAAACGAAAAGTTTGTTCATCCTTAATCTTTTTGTTTTGTCCCACAATCATAAATGGAAAAATTACAAATTCAAAGCCCAGAGTGTATTCAATTAAATTGTGCAAATTACAACCTAGAGGATAATTGAAAAATCAAGGCACACACCTGCGCACATGTCTGTGAGAGTGTCCTGCTTGTATATGCGTATCTGTGTAAGGGCACCTGCGGCTGTATGTGTGTTGAAGGCTAAGCAGAATCAGCAGCCACGGAAAAGCCAACAAGTAAAATAAAAATTGCATGTGCCCCAAAAATCGGAAAATTGGAAATGGAATATTGCTCGACCACAAATGAAAAATACAACAGTGCAAAAAGTGACAACGTTTAAAAGATATTTTACACGCCAGAAAATCAAAATATTTCATGGCAGCAAAGCCATAAATCCTACCCCCTCAAAATTATCTTATCTGAAAAGAAATCCATTTAATTTAACACCACCAAATGCATGCATTAAAATATTATTTGATTGATTTATTAGTGAATAAAGGCTGCTTAACGTTTCTTTGAGGGGCGGCCGACTTTGGTTAGATAAATATGTCTTAAGCCCACAATTATCTAGATATTTTACAGTTCTTGCCTGTTGCAGCCAAAGAGTTAGCAAACAAAGTGATAAAGACAAAGTGTTCAAGACAAAATGTAATAAATATTATTAAATATACAAAAACGGAATAAATTACTTAATAATTAAACGCTAAACTGGAATTCGGAGCAATGTCAAGGCACAGGTCTCAACAGGATGTCCCGTCTAAGGTGAGTAGCTTGGGTTCGGAGCATCAAGTCGAGCTTTGCTCCAGACGCATCCTACCTCAACACAAGAAAGATATATCAGCAGAACCAGGGAATTCGAGCGAAAGAGCGAAGCAAAACATAAACAACCCCGAAAAGAGCGAAACACTAGAAGTAATGGTTTAGAGGAAAGTGCTGGGAAACACTGGAATAAATTAGATTGGCAGAATATATATTTGGGACTAGCAGGTGTGTTTCAAAAGAATTCAAAGTCTAGAAACGTTTAACATTCTAAAAGCATACAAACTCTAAAAGAAAATTGGTTTCACATTTGAAAATAGAAATAGACAGTTTTAATTTTAAATCTCTAAAAGTTATAATTGTTCTGATTGTATTTAATAATTATTCTATTCTGCAAGTCCGTAAAAAGTTTTTTTTTAAGAAAATGTTCGAGGCTCTAATAAATATTTAGAGAACGTCAAATATTTGATTTATTTTATTAGTGAGTAATTTTTAAATGTCAAAATGTTAAAGGCCAAAAATAATTGTTCTAATGTGATTCCTTATACTTTTAATAGTTTTAAACCCCTTGTGTTAGATTATAGACAGCATTTATTGGTTACAAAAAAAATTATTGTTCTAAAGATTTCGAAAAAAAATTATTTTCAATCATTAAAATTTCAATAAATACTTTTTCTTCTAGATATATATTTCTTATCAATTAGTCAATATTATTTCTTTACGTGCACTCTTCTCCTTTCTTCTCCAATCGGAAATGCTGTGCTGTTTTTCTCGTCTCCTTTATGTGCTGCCCTTCGGTGCTGATGTAGAGATACGAAAATAGGCAAAGTTGAGGAGAAAACCAACGAATTTCAGTTAAAAAGCTCAATGCAAAGAATGCCAGCATTCGTTGGGGATTAGCCAAAGCCAAAGACTTTGCGCAAATACTGAAAAGCTCGAGCTCAGCGCATCATTTTCCACGCAAATTTCGTTTGCGAAAATTTCAATTTATGTGTAGCATACAGGATTTGCAGGATATATGTAGCCTGCATCAGCCAAGATTATGTATCTGTAACTCGGTCACACGTTACACGCCTCGCCGTTCTTTTTTTGTTCGCCTTTATTGACTTTGTCGTTTTATAGGCAATTTGTCTTTTGGCTGCCGTCGATAACTTTTGCTGCGTCATAAAATTTCGCGCCAAACGAGAGCCCGTATCCTTATCCTTATCGGCGAGGACTCAGGCCTGGACTCTTTCGCTGCCAAGTTGTTTATTTAGTCGTAAATTTGCCTTCAAGGACGCGACAACACCGCACAATCCACACCGCCGCCACCCACCGCCCATTACCCTCTTACATGGCCATTTTATCGATCACACAATGGGAAATATCACACGTTGTCCCAAAGGGCTGCGAAATAGCCGGCCCAGTACAGTGGTCGGTACTTTTTTTTTTATTAATTTATTTCAGATAATTGCAGGGTAACTCAATCGTTATGGGGCTTATGAAAGTGGTAAATGTAGTGAAAGGTTTTTAGTCACCTAGGCGACAGTTCTTTCTAGTTTCAAAAAATATTCCATAAGAACAGCTTATCAATTCTAATGTTTTTGCTGATTTATAATATAGAGTCAATATTTTTTTTAATGTGGCTTAGCTTTGAAAATCTCAATAATAAAACGAAAAAAAAAATATTTTCTAGAAAAAAATGGTTGACATAAAAGTAAAATCTAAAAGTAAGAAAACATATAAGCCAAATATTTTATAAATAGGACATTTAACTTTGCGGATCCATGGTATTTCGATAAATTAATAAAAGCATTTCTACCAGCTGAATTGTAGGAAAGATTTTCAGGCACGTGTCCCATTATTCGGGGGAAAACTGTAACAAAAACCCGTTGAGTTGCGTTTCGTTGCTTGTCTTTAATTACGTGTGCTGCAATTGGCAGCTTCAAGGTCGTTGCCGTCTTTTGCATAATTAAGGGTCGGCCCAGCACTCTGCACCTCTTTTCTGGCTAACACATGCCCCAATCTCTCGCTCGTTTCCCCACTCCGAGTGGCTTTTGTTCTTTCTGCATAGTTTCTGAATAATGCAATTGACGCGGGCATGTGGGTGCTGACACAGTTGCCATTTTTCACACATGACCAACCGGCAACGAGCAACCAGAAACCAGGCAGCAGCAGCAGCAACAGCAGCTGGCAACGTGCAACGAGCAACATGCAACACACGCCGCATGTCCGGCACTTAAGTGCAATTTTCATTGCATACTTCAAGGCTGGCCGTAGTCTAATTTACATTCCAAATGACGCTCCCCTCGCTTTCTGCCTTGCATTTATGAGTCGTGACGTGTGATTGTCCGCCATCCTTTCTTTGTCGTTTTGTGTTTCGAGACACGTATTCAATTAGTCCGATAAAGGAAGCAAAATGCCGCAGCTGCTGCTGCCCACACATTTGCATACGAGAACGGGGGAAATTGGTAAGTGGGTTACTGGCAGTAAATGTTGAACAACTTAACCCTTGAACTAAAACGGGAGAAATAACAGGAAAGGAATTTCTGTATTTGAACTTTATCATACTCATTTCATTTCTCTATGATTTTTAAGAAATGTAAACATATTTATTATAATTTAAATAACATCAGTTTATGATAAATGTTTATAGGTGTAAAACTATCTTAACGAACTACAAAACATTCTTTTAAAACGATTATTTTGATGTCTCGCTAAACATTTAGTCAGTTTTCATAAATTCAATTTGAAGTAATTAATATCTGTTGTTCAACCAATCCATCGGAAAGAATTTTAGAATACATATTTCCAAATTTATATCTTTCTTGATTAATGGCCACAACGTGTCTGCATTTGGCAAGTGTCGCTTGAATTTTTTATGTGGCACCCACAAATGAAATTTTGGAAAGTAAGAGAGCGTCTGTTTTTTGGCGGCTTTAGGTTTGACAACAAATAGCAAAACATGAGGCAAACAAAAAAGCGTTGCTATATTTAAATGTCTGAAAATACCAACAACAATTGAAAGAGAGCATATATATCCAGATATTATTGTGTAGTGGTGACTAACAGATACTCTTTGGAGTGGTTTCTAAAACTATTTGGGCCTGATCTTAAATAAAACAATTTAGGTATTATTTGGAATATATTTCATATTTTCTTACTACTTCGCAGTTGCGTGACATTTTAAATATTTATTTTCATATACCCCATAAACTATCAAAATTTGTTTTTGGACACACACAAAAACAGCATTTAGCCAAATGAAACGAAAACATTTTAACCAAAACTGGCAAAGAAAAACAAAACAAGCGCTGGTCGATGGCCGGCCTAAATGGGCACACCCACTCAGCCTAAATTCTCCACCACTCCCTATTTTTCCGCTCTCAATTTTCCGCCCCTGCCTATTTTCCCAACCCCCGGCTTTTCCAAATTCCCGCATTTCCTTTCACCTCCTTTCACGCACACACAAATCGCAACTTTCTGTTTGTCCTGGCCATCGTCTAATTAGTTGTGGGCTGTGACCGCCTTGATTTATATATTTATGATGGGCGTGGCCCTGGGCTAGTGCCAACTAATTGCCGTCACCCTTCTGGCGTCCCCATAAAGACCCTCGAAGAGTGGCTTTTTCCCTCCGGATACAGATACAGATACAAACTCGCTCTCAGATACACACGTTAATAAGTGTGCATTTGGCAGCTGCTGCGAGCAAATTGGTTAAATGTCAAACCGTCCTCAGAGCCTCCGTCTCAATCCCGACCAGACTTGGCAGCTCTTTCAGCGTCAGTGTGCACATTCAGCCAATAAATTGCAAATGAAATACAAGTAACAAGGCGACGGATAAGCCTTGTGTGCACGGAGAGAAAATATGCGAGGCAGACTAAATTATTTCGATCTTTTTAATTTCCCAGGAATCTTTTGAAATTCACTGTAATTTATTACACTAAATATTGTAGGCTTATAAAAGAACTAATAAAAACCTATCTGTTAAATGGGTTTTTCAAAAAGGATAAGAGCTTAGCATTCCCTAATTCAGAAATGTTACCAATATCCTTAGGCATAATAACCAGTTATATTATTTTTACACTTTTGTTATAGAAATCACAAATTGATTCTTGTTTTTTATAAAATTTTATTTATAATAAAAAAAATCTAAAGCCAGAGATATTGTATCTTTTATAAAAACAAATCTTTACTTATTTTAGTTATACAAAATAAAATAAAAAAGTACCTTCGCTGCAACGTCTTCAATCTTATCTGAATATATAAATACAATATTATAAAAATATACTTAAAGTCTTTGAAGTGTCATGAAAAGTTTACCTTTTTTCCAGTCCAAATAAATGACTAGTTTTATATTTTGTCTCCGTGTACGTGCATCAAAACCGCACCGTCATGATCCCGCGTTCCTCCCCTCGTCCATTGGCTCAATTCATTTCCCTTCTGCTTATCAATCAGACAGCAAATAACAGCAACAAATAAACAAGTTGCTGCATTTAAGGCGGCAACAACAACCGCGGAGCGAACAGGAGCCATGGCGGGGATGACAAATTGATGCATTGCCGTATTGATTACCCGACTGGCTTTGCTATTGCCACTGCCACAATGGACGCCTTGGCTGAATGTCAAGTCGCAGCATTGAAACGAATTTCGTGTCGAGGGTTTTTTTTTTATTGATCGATTGTTCCACTACTTGATTGTATGAATGTGTGAGTCTATGTGTGTGTGTTTGTGGGTGTGTACGGGTAGAGCCGGTATCAGGAGCCAATACAATTGTCCTTAGCGCCGAGTGCCGCAAGTCTTATTTATTACGCATACGTCACGTTGGCTGGGTGAATGCGAGGCGAAATGAAAAGGACAGCCCATGACTGTGACCTTGCCAATTGCAAACATCTGCAAGCCCTTGCATTTTGCAAATACACAAGCATTTCTGCAACATTTAAACTAACAAAAAACTTTGGACCAAGGGGAAATCAGAATTAGTGAGGCATTCGAGCAGTACGAAAAATCCGGAGGGGAATAAAACAATATAAAACTAAACACGCGCGCGTCGCCAAGTCGCTGTTTGCCCTTGGCCCCAGCCACGCCCCCTCTCTTATTGCCTTTATCAGCGCCCTCGCGACGCAAAATTGGCCCAAATAAAAGCATTGCGTATACGACATGTGGTACGGCATTTCACAATGCGGTTTATGGCCATAACAGCGGGTAGCACGTGAATTTAAGTTGGCCCAATCACGCACCCCCCGCCGACATTTATTTTGAGGACAGAAATATTCAGGGCATTTCATAGGGAAATTGGATTTTTTATGGCGTTCCTTGGCGAAATTACTGTTTTTGGCTGCTCATTATTATTATGCCAACAGCAAGTTTCCCACAGATTGCAAACTTTGTTGACACTTTTGGCTGAGTAGATCTATATTACTAGTTTTATTAATTTGGGAGAAAATATATATTTTATTTGTCTTAAGTCCAGTGGCGGATCCACGGGGGGGGAAATTAGGTAAATTTCCCCCCCCTTGGAACCGCAGAACCTGAAAATTTCACTTGTTTGCTAGAAATCACCGCGATTTCCAGTTTTCGTCCTTTTCAATTTCCCCCCAAGAATCGTCTCTGGATCCGCCACTGCTTAAGTCTTGGCTTAGCAATGGGTTGGCTGACCTTTTTACGTAAGCTTCGTAATAATTTATTAAGTCGTATTAGTATAGATTTTTGTTTTGGTATTCATTGGTTTTTTAGTTTTAGTTTAGACATTATATAAAAATATTTATATATGTCTTGGACATCACTTTTGCAGTGTTCTGCTCAATAAATTATCGAACTTCCCTCATTTTTTTTATTGTGACGGAACTGTTGCATTTCGTAATAAAGTTCCCAGCTTTCTCACACTTTAATTGCAATTCGCTGCAGGCATTTTTGGGTGGACAAAAGTTTGTGCCCAAAAGTTTTGTTCGGTGAGCGAAGCAACAGGCTGCAGGACCACCAGCAAAGTCCTTAAGCCACTGAGTGACAGGAGCTGCCAAGTCTAGCCCTGCCACGCCCCCTTCTCCTTCTCAAGGACATGCATTTTCAAGCATATGCGACATTTGACATGCGTAAGCATAAATTATGCATCCGCCTCGCCAGATGCACTGAGCAAAACAGGTGGCCGAAGTAAACACGGTGAATAAAATAGCTGCTGGGGAAATGAAAATGAAAACGAGATATAAAAGCCAAGGTGAGGTCATGCTTATGTAAAGACGCAGCCACGTGGATGGCGACGATGACGATGACGTGGCGCCCATCGGCAGCAGCCTTGTCCGCCTGCCACCCACATTTGGGTCCACCCACATTTCGTCCTGGGGCTTCCTGCCAACAACTAACGTCATCAAACGGGTAGCCGTATCTTTCTTGGGCCTGCAGCTCGCCTTGGCCTTTGTTGCGGTATTTCGCAATTTGTTTTAAACACGTAGCCATCCGAAAGTTTATTTATAGCGCCCGAAAGGAAAGCTTTTCTCCATCCTGCGCCTTTTGCACCACCTGCTTGGCATTTGGATATGGTTTTATGACAGTGTCACATTCGATGGTTTTCCGCTTCTGTTTGTGTTTCGTTTGGGGCTCAAAGTTTTTTGTGTGTTCTCTGAGGCGACATAAACACGCATGGGATACATATTTTATGGAGCCGAACGCTGAAAAACCTACGTAGCAATAAATGAAAACAGGCCAACAGAAGGACGGGCGCAAGCATACAGTGCGTTTCGGGGATGTAGGGCAGTTACATATTTGACATGCTTTCAAAGTTCAAGCAACGTTAAGATGAAGCGAATTTGTTTACTACATTTAGACATGATATATAATACAACAAAATTGTTGTACTAGGTTTTGTTTAATTTTATATAGATAATAAAATAATTTATAATTTACTAGAAAACCTACATTAATAAAGAACATTTATTATACCAAAGAATGATTTTAGAATAAGCTCTACAGTTGTTTATGTGCCCCTTTAAAATATATATTGATGATAAATCTATTACGAATTAGATTTTGAAATAAATTAGATTTTATTAGAGTAGCGTGTGCAATAAAATTTATATTGTACTTTATTTTCTAACAACCAATTATAAATCTGACCTAGTTTTACATTTATTGCTTTTACGATTTTCTAAGTTTTTATTTATGTACGTTTGGTCAGGCATTCATCACAAGCTTTAATGGTCAGTTTTGTGGGTCACTCTTATTCTCTATTGAAATCGGAGCTCCATTTTCCGCAGCCCAGTTTCCAGCATTCATTCCGTATCTCTGTGAATTTAAGTGGGTAAAAAATGTACCTCCTCGCAGGACGAAAGCAGGGCACATATTATTTTTAATTTCGCCACACACTTAATGAGCTGCGCCGCATTTGCATTCCCAGTGGCAATCAAAATCTCATCAGCTTGTTAGCGTTATGCTCGCAGAACAATGACCATATTTACATAATTAATCACCGGGCCGCGCTTATTGATTATCCTTCCAAGAAAAGGAGCAGAGGGTTCACTGAACCCATTTCTCTTCGCTTTCCGGTTTCCGGTCTCCGGTTTTCATGGGGGGTTTACTCATTATGCGGACGGTTCCCCTTAAGTTGGCAGCAATAACAGTTATTTCAGCTTAATTGCAGCGGGAATGGGCCGAATTGTTCGTAGGCCGAGAAGTCATTTGCACAAATGACGTTTGCCAACTGCAGGGACTTACGTAATGATTGACAATCAGGTGGAATGGTGTTGAAATGAGTTTTGCTCAGTGGTTCAGTGGTCTAATGCAATTCATTGATATTTATCACCTGGCCAGCGACTGACTGTCGAACCCGAAGCGTTACCCCGTTATTGTTAATTAAATTACCAAGTTGAGCAAAGGAGAAGAAGGGGATGCGGGGTGTAAATGACAAACTTGTTACCTCACTCAACGACATCCCCTAATGTCAAACGCCCCCCTCATTTCATCATCCCCCTTTGACACATGGAGCACCCCCGCTGATGTCTAATGGCATTTGATAATGGTGTTTGTGTTTGTGTTTGTGTCTGCGTGGAAAATGGCACGATGACGTAGTGAATGCCAATGATGGAGGCTGCGATGGAAAATCAGAGGTGTCAGTTGAAAATTATATAAAAATATTAAGCAGGATAATACAAATTAAAAATATACACTTGGAGTTAATTAAATATATGTAATTTAAATTATATTTACTCGGGCAGTAAAAGTAAAAATTGAAAAAAATATATATTTATATGAGACAATAAGTTTATATAAAATAATTTGGGGCACCTCTTTGAAGGCCATCAAAAACTTAAAAAATATATAACTTTTAAATGGATTATGAAGTTGAAATAACCATTTTGTTTAACCTTTAGAAACGTTGGTAAAAACAAACCTTGGCAGAAAATAGCCAAGTTGTCGGAACTCGAAAGGGGTCCGTTAAAAATAGAAAGATTGAGTGGGCGTGATCGATGACGGTGGTCCACAAACGGAGACCAAAGCGGGAACCCCTCGAGATTTTTAACAGTTCCAGGCCCTCGAGAGATGGGCCCAGTTTGAGCAGCCGGCCAGTGACAGCTATGGCTCTCAAACTGTGTCAAGTGGCACTGCAAAGTGGGTCATTGCAGGCGGGAAAAGTGGGTGGCCGTGGTTTGGTGGGTGGTGGGTGGTGTGAGGTGGGGGGTGGCTCTGAAATAGCAGGCAAGTGACGGGCCCAGGATAAGCACGCTTATGTAAAGCGTTTGTGCAGCTAAAAGGCTTTTTCCGCCTGCCGTATGTGGGATAATTTATTGATTGGCTCAAGATGGCAGATTCTGTTAACTATTTATGAGGCACCAAAGCCATTTAATTGGTTCGCTTTATCCTTGCAGATGCGCACAATTAGCTTAAACTGACAGCAGGATGTGGATAGCAGCAGCAGCAGCAACAACAACAACAGCCAGAATTTACAAGCAAAAGGATAATCACAATCACCATGCAGCGAAATTAAACACCAAAAGCCGATAACTAACAACCGAACTATTATCGAACTATTTTAAAACAACTTAAATGTAGCACAACAGAAGCCTTACAAAACAAGAAAACAACATTTGTGCTGTGCTTTAATTATAGTCAACAAAAAAATACAACTACCACGAAAAGAACCCCGAAAACCGCGTAATTATTACACATTAAATAATAATATAAATAATCATTATTCTTCCACTTGCGAGTTTGAAATGTGTACATTTTTAAATCGATATTTAAACTAGTAGCGAATTATTAATACCAAATGATATATATAAACGAATAACTGTTTAACGTTCATTAAAACTTAGCAAAGAGCGTTGTGAATTTAACAAAGAAAACAAATTAATTAAACGGTTAACGATCCTCTAAATTGTACGCAATTAGTAGTTTTTAAACGTAAGATTTTAATCCAAAGGACATTTTTAAACGAGCTTCAAACACACACGAAAAATATAACACACCTACACACACACACACAACCGGGCAGAAACTTATCCTTAACCTTAACCACGACGGCAGGATTGTAAGGGTAACAATCAAATGCTTGGCTCAGCGCCAGAAATACAGCCCAAAAAGTAGGCAGTAGAAATTTATACAAATTTGGCGCCAGCGGTGAAAAAAGGACGAAAAAAGAAGGCAGAAAAGCAGCGCCAAGGACTCCGACGACCTTCGCGTGTGCAAGCGTCGTTGCACAATAAAGGACGCCACTAACACTCTCACCCAGACAAACACACACACATACACACTTAACAACTCACCTAGACACATAGAAAACACACACACACACAGATAAACACACCCAAACCACAGGACAATTGCATGGGCGGCCGCCATGACCGGAAGTGAAGTACGGTCACGTCCACGTCCACTGGCCTTTGCATAACAATCAGCCCGCCAAGGAGCCGCCAAGAAGGTGGGTGGTGAAAGCGGGGAGAAAGCCAGCGAAAGCAGGTGAAATAGCAGCAGAAGGAGGAGCAGGCAGAGGAGAGCAAAAGGACTAAGAACAACGAGCACAGGAGCGCCACTTTCACCCGCCAGCGGCCCGTAAAAATGCAGGAAATGAGCTACCTGCAGGATAATTCCAAGGTGGAGGCCCTCACCAAGGCGGTGCTCATATCCATACTGGGCGTGGCCATCGTCCTGTCCAACCTCCTCATCATCGCCACCTATGCCAACTTCAAGGGTACGTTGTACAAATATCAAACGATTAATGCTTTCCACAGGAACATCTCGAACGTGGTTAGGTTTGGTCTAAGGAACAATATTTCCCTAACACAAATATGTTTTAAACTTAATTTATAGTTTTTTTTATTCTGACTTTGAAAACCAAATATTTACATTAAAAATGCATCCGTATTTGAATGAAAGGAGAGAAAAGAATGAATTCAAAAAGCATCTACCCTAAATTAAATGTCATGTGTTTTTGTCAAAAAAATGTTTTTGCTTCCAATTATTGTTTATTACGGTCACTTTAAAAATTAATGATTCGTAGACCCTGCAATGATATGTAACCCAGATGTTATTCGTAAAAAAGTTTTCTTTTTATTCTATTGGATAAATTAAAAAAGCATTAGGCTAGTGAATGTCGTAAATATAGACTCGCCCACAATTCAACTGAATGTATAATTTTAAAATTATTGTTTGCATTTGGTTTTAGTTTGATTACACTTTTTACTTCCTTGTCTAATAATAAGTAATGAACCACAGGTCCCACAGAGGTGATCAACTACTACCTGTTGTCCTTGGCCATTGCCGATCTGCTCTGCGGACTGCTGGTGGTGCCCTTCTCCGTGTATCCCGCCTTGACCGGGGAATGGATGTACGGCGACATCGTGTGCCGATTCACGGGCTACCTGGAGGTCACTCTGTGGGCGGTATCCGTCTACACGTTCATGTGGATATCAGTGGATCGCTATCTGGCCGTTCGCAAGCCACTGCGATACGAAACGGTTCAGACGAAGACGAGGTAAGAGGGGGATCTATAGATAGTTAAAAAAGTTAACTGAAATTATACTATATTGGTTAAAAATAACATTTAATAATAGTCAAAACAAATAGTAGCAATTATAAATATAATTAAAATTATAATCCATTAGATTTCTTATTTATACCCTTTGATTTGATTCTCTAATTAAATTTTGTCATATTAACATATAACATTAACATTAACATTTCATGTTAGTTATTATACCCTTGCAAAGGGTAATACAATACAGGCAAGGTACAGTTTGAAGGGCACTTTAAATTAGTCTTAAATTAGTCTTAACTTAATTTATTTATATTTCATAATTATTTTATATGAACTAGGAACAAAACAATCGGATTTAATACTATGAAATTCTAAACTGTCCTTAAGCAAATCGGATTAATCTTTGATCTTATGATTTCCCCCACAGATGCCAGTGCTGGATGGTGTTCACCTGGATATCGGCGGCCCTGCTCTGCTGCCCACCGATTCTGGGCTACTCGATGCCCATCGAGAACAACATGACGCACATCTGCATGCTGGACTGGGGGAATATGGCAGCATATAGTGCCACTTTGGCGATTTTAGTCTTAGGTCCCAGCCTCATTTCAATCGTACACAACTACGGCTATATCTTTGTAATGATGCGTAAGATTAGGTCCGGCGAGCCGATACACGATAAAGAATATGCAACTGCTCTGGCTGAAAATTTATCGAACCCTAGTCATATGATGTCATTCGCATTAGTCTTTGCATTCTGGGTGTCCTGGCTGCCATGGATTCTGTTGCGTCTGTATGAGGTGGTCACGGGCGATGTTATCCAAAGTACTCTTATCAACTTCGCCGTCGTCTGGATCGGCATATTGAATTCGTTTTGGAAAATTCTAATCATGACCAGTATGTCGCCGCAATTCCGTATCGCTTTGAGAGTATTTTGCTTAACCATTTGTTGTAAGACTAAGGGCCGTTTGCAAGCAGAGCTAATCGGGTTGGACCCAGATGACTAGAGTTAGATTTAGATTTTCATTCTCCTCAAAAAATATAAAATAATAACCGCCATCCCCTCCCCCCGCCCTAACCCAATCCGACTATCCCTTTGAGAAGAACTACGAAGTCCCGCAAGTAAAAAAAATTGGTTGTAATTGCATTGAGCCATTTCCTTAACTCTCTCTATCTATATTTACACTTACTTGCCTGTTGCCATATAGTTGCATATTTACGGGCCGTTTGGCGCTACGCGACATGCCAATGAAAGCACCACCCACAAAGCCACTGAAAAACTCAAAAACGCAACCACTCAACCACCCAACCACCATACAGCAACCACACAGAGACACCAAAAACACAGACACGTTGAAAGACATATTCATATTTCTAGACCTAAGCTAAGCTAAGAGTTTTTAGCGTATCCAATTATGATTGATTAATTGATTGATTGATTGAATTGAATTGATTGACGATTATTATTGTGTATTTATGAGCTTACCACGTATATACTTGTACTTAACTCTAGCCATATACATATTGTAGCAGCGATTCTAATTCTAATTCGTAGACAAGAGACAATTCACTAGGCAAGAAAACATTTCCGTTTCCGGTTTACAATTCAAACAATTGCTACTACAAACAAATCGATTTGAATCATATGCTACTCAAGAAGCAAGATATTGCATATATTATAAACCTTTTTCAAAGTCCATATTAAGTAGCATTTAGAATTTTACAAAAAAATCGAGTAGAGTTTATTAAACAATTTGCCAAACTTGACGACGGGCCGGAAATTAAGAATTCAAAATTCAGAACATTCAATCTTCGCACGCTTTGCGAATGCGCTTTAGAAACGGAAAACCCAGGCCCACTAAACGATATAAAACTCAACCCAGCAAAAATGTTAAAATACGAAAGCGAAAAAAAAACATTTCCAGTAGTTCTTAGCGATAAATAAATAAAAAGTGAAAATGAAAATTAAAGGATAGGCTAGTGTCAAGTTTCGATCGTTGTTAAAATCGGCAGACGCAGATGCATGTATTTTCCTTTTGGCCGCCCCTGAACGCTTCGATTTGGTGGGGTTCCCAATTTCGCCTAGTTCCCTTAGTGGGTCAAATTCAGTTTCCCAGGCTCCGCCAGTGAAGCGTCCAGGGTCCCAAGTCGAGTGTTTGCTGTTGAATATTGTCGATCTCTGCTGTTTTCGATGATATCTCAGCTGCAAACATGTCAAAATGCGAAAATAATGAACGAAATTCGATTTAGGAAACGAAACATTGTGTATATTTTGTTGTTGTACATTTCATTGACGATCTTTTGTACATTTAGTTATAGTTCAAAACTAATTAACACACCAAAAGCAAGTGTTATCGATTTTTAAGTGTAAGGAAATTGTTAGAGCCGTATAAGCAGATAGAAAAGGCGTTTCGACAAATATAAACAATGAACGCAGTAAATAAATGCAAAAATGATGAAAGCAAAGTTATTGTGTTTGACATACAGTTTGAATTTGGCGGTTATAGTTGCTTCGGTTTTCAACACTGGCATCCATTTAGTTTCTCCTAGCAGGGTGTGAACAGAAGCGGTGTATCCACCAATCAAATCTCATAAAATATCGATAGTAACGTAGGTCTAACGGTCACACTTAAAAAATAACAACATAACGTGCTTATAAACAATATCTAAAATTAAATCATGGACATCAGAAACAACGATCCCGGCGCCGTTCAATATGGCAATTTCATGAACTACTACCAATTTAATTCAGCCTCGGAACGTGTAAAACTTTTACCGGATAAAGATATATGGTTACCTGCTTTAAATAATGATGTGTCCCCTGGAAATAGTCCTTATATTGTCCTGGATGTAGGCTGCAATTGCGGGGTGTTTACCCAGCTGCTTCATAAATATTTAAAGGAACTCCTCCAGAGACCTGTAAAAATCCTAGGAGTGGATATAGACAATCGTCTGATACAGCGTGCTTTGGAGGAGAATGAATCCCCCGAAGACGTAAGCTACACTTGCGTGGATGTCCTAGATGATGTTGCCTTTGAATCTGTAACAACTTATCTGGCTATCAATAACCGCCAAAAGTTCGATGCCATTTGCTGCTACTCAATTACCATGTGGATTCACCTCAATCATCATGATCAAGGCCTCCAATTGTTTCTGAAGAAGCTCTCCAATCTGGCTGAACTCCTGGTGGTAGAACCACAGCCCTGGAAATGTTATCAAACGGCAGAGAGGCGTCTGAAAAAAGCTGGAGAAACGTTTCCCCTTTTTCGGGAACTCAAGTGGCGATCCGATGTGGAGCTGCAAATACAAAACTACTTGGAAAATTCCCTGGACCGAAGGAAGCTATTCGAGTCCACGCCCACTAAATGGCAGCGAAAGATTTGCTTCTATAGATAATGATTCAAGCATGTAAAATTAAAGATAATGTATATATAGAAGACATCTATATTGCTTTGAGCTATTCCTGGAGGATAGGACTTTAAAGGTATACTCTCACCTGAGTAATGCCAAACAAAATGTTAATAACTCCTAGCAAATGATAACAAAACAACAATCTTTAAATACTACAAATTTCAAACTAATCCACGTTGAGCTTCCTGAATGAACCCTCGCTTCCGAAGAGTCCATCAAAATCGATGGGTTTGCCCTGTCGCAGGCTCTCATCAGTGCCATAGTTGGCATTATCCTTGAAAAACTCGCTGTAGTCATCCAACTTTTTCTCCCAATTAGCCACGATTTCCGGCACAGTTCCGTTCTCCCCGCCATATTCCACGGGAAGATATTTCAGCGGGATCTGCTCCGTTAGCAATTCCATTTTGTTGCCATGCACAAAGAGTCGAGACTGCATCTTCTTGGACATCATGGGCTTGAACATGTTGAATATCTGCTCGAAACCAGTGATGGTGTTGATGAAATGCTGTCCCTTTATTCGCAGTGGGAGAGCTTCCTCTGAAAAAACGGTGAACTTCTTGGCCATCGAGGGAGTCATCTGGAACAAGTGGGCCGCTGTGGCTCCCTGCATGTCCATGATGAAAACAATACCATTAATATTGGCATAGTCGTCCTCCAAGATGGCAATTTCCTGTAATGCCTGTGCCACTTGCATGCACTCCAGAATACTGTACTTCTCTACGGGAACCAATCCCATGCGCCAGATCCCGATGCGGGGTCCATTTTCATTCAGCGGAGTTGGCATATAGATTATAGCCCTAATAAATTTGATAAGTTATTAGATTTTCCTTGGTTTGTAAGACATATTTCTTACCCCGTTTGGTGGATCTCTCGGAACTTGCCGTCCGTAGTGCTGGTGACTCGAAAGAATTCCGGATACTTGGTTTTCAGTGTGTAGAACTTGTCCAACTTGGACTTGGCCCGCTCCAGACTGTACTTGCAGCCGCGCAGGAAGGCCACCAGATACTGGTCGTCGGTTCGAGGATTCAGATGTGGCTGCTGTTCGATCCAGGTCCTGAAAGCCAAAAGATCAGCCTCCAGTCGATCGGGATCCTCTTTTAGCTGCTCGATGGCCACTTTTTGCAGCTCTGGCGTGAGTGGTCGGATTTGCGGGGCCATTTCTTATGTTGTTCTCAGGAGGAAGTACTAGTGAACAGTTCAGCTTTTCTCAGGGCACTAGTTGCCCAATCTACGTTCTATTGATGGCGTTCGATTTTTACGGGGTCTTTATCTTTCTGATAAGCTCCGATTGGGGACCATAAACTAAACAAAGACAAACACTGTGCAAATTTCCGCGATAAGGGGGACATTTCATAAGAATACTTCAGTTAAAATAGCCAAAGATCGGGGATTCCAGTTATCGTTTTTAAATACATAATATGCGAGCTTTATTGGGGTCTACTTCTGGAAGGGATAGTAATCCAAACCGGAGTTGTAATTGTACTTCTTCTTTTGCTTTTTCTGGGCGGCCTCGATTATTTCGAGGACATCCTTGCGATAGGCGGGTGGCAGCATCTCCTCGTGAAGGGTGCAGGGTTCCTTCTCGGGCTCCTCCACCTTGAAGATATATCGTCGGACTATGTCTATATCCCGGCCGAATTCCTCTTTCAAGTCGGCGATCCTCGTGGGCGCCGTATCGAAGGCAATGGTGAAGTGCGTTCCCTCGCGATGCACCACTCCGTGTTCGCTGACTTTGTAGGGCAGGGCACGGGTTCCCAGGTTCTCCAGCTTCCTGATAATGCCTCCTTTATCCAGAATGGACTCTGCCGTGCGCTTTATCACGGAAATTAGTTCGGGCTGTCGGGGAATACAGATTCTTGTTTACTTTTATGTAACTGCCGGTGGAAATGCATGTGCTACTCACGCGGGGCAATTGACGCAGCACCAGTGCTAACTCGTAAGAGGGCATTTTGGGTGGTGGATAGTGGCAGCAAATAAGTAATTTAATCTATTATTTAAAGCCTTTAATGTAGAGTTTTAATTCATTAAATAATTGCCCTGCCGAAAAACGTTGATGACCCGCCAGCTGATAGTGTTACAAAACGGCGTTTTAATAGCTATTGTCAGGAAAGGCAAAAATACACTAACGCTAGAGACTGTCGTTAATTTTAAAAATTAAAAATCACACACACTATTAGCGATGCTAACATCCCCACATCTATTCTTTCTCTTGTGTATTTTGTATTATTATAGAAGTGTTTTGAAGAAGGTTTTTGCAAAAAATGCAGCTCAAAGTTTCTTCGCACTATCGCAGTATCGCCAAGTATACAATCTCATTAATTCAACCTATTCTCACTACAGGTTATGAGTTGAACAATGAGCATTGGTCTTATTCCCAAGTATAGTTAAGAGAGGTTTATCTTGCTGATTTTAATGTTAAAGTATATTTAGTACATATCACTAAAATAATTATATCGTCTAGCTAAAATATTAAATTGTACAATACTTTCAAACAAACAACTGCCATCATTGATGTTGGCTAGTGTGAATAGGCTATAAATGTAATCGTGGTGATGCTATCGTACCTCGTCAAGCGAACGAAAAACGAAAACAATCACCATTCTGTGTTTTTTAGCTGCTCGGAGAGGACGCGATTTTTCAGTTTCCTCGGTCGGCGTTGTTCGGCGGCTTCTTATCGACAAATAGCAGAATAGTGGATGAAATAAATAACTCCGTATTTGCAGTGCAGAAAGCTGAATAAAAAGCAATTAAATTAAATTGTTTTTCGCACGCCAAAAAGGAGAAACAAATGCTTGCGTTGTGTGAGTGCGGGTGTACCGAGTGTGTGTGTGTAAATGTCGCCCGAATAACGAGGCATACTGAAGTGCATAAAACCCAAATTAAAGTTGCAATTGCACTTGCAGAAAATAAGTTAACAAACGAAGAGCTGTAAAAAACGGTGGCAGAAGAAAAAGTGCACTCGGCAATTGTATTTACATGTGTGGGCGAGTGTGTTGTGTGCGAAATTATGTAAATACAACAATAGTAGAATTCCAATTGTCCTCTCTTTTTGTTAATTATGAAATGCAGTTGCACTCTAGCTCTCTCCTTCTCTCGCTCTCACTCTCTTTGCGCATCGAAATACCAGTGCATAGAATTTTCTTATTTTCAACTCCCCAAAGTAAATAAGAGTTTAAACTGCCATTAGTTATAATTGTTGCTACCCTTTTTCTACCTGCCGTTGCAACTGACACGTCTGCATTGCCACTTTTTTTTTACATGCTTTCTTACCTGCCCAACCACCGAAAAAAATGAAATATATGACTCGAATTGCTCTCTTTCATAGAAAATTAAACATCGCGTCGCGCAACGCTGAAAAAAACGGAAAATGAAAACGAAAAAGCAACTATAAAATTAATTAACCTTTGCGGGATATAATAAAAACGAATAAAAGTTCTCATCTATTACTATTCTTCGCTTTCTCCCTCTTTCTCCATCGTCTGTGGATTACATTATCTTCTGTGGATTATTATTATAACAACAAAAACAGTGGCAAGCGGATCGAGCAGAAGTAGCAGCAACAACAAACTGGCAGAATCGGAAAACGCAACGCAAAACTCCAACATGAGTTGGGGCACAGAGCTATGGGTAAGTTCTGCTTTTCCTCGATTTTAGGGGACTATCTCTTCAGATATGTTGACATTTTTGGGATATTCAAAGAGAGGGGAATTGTAAGAAAATGTTTAATTTTTATTTCATAAAAAAACATGGTTTTTCTAATTGAAAACTTAAGAAAAGCGTTTTTTTACTTCTTATGAAAGCCTAAATATATCGATATTTTTTTACTTTATCAATAAAAGTACGTTTAAAAGAACAAAAATGTATAGATTGATTAGAAAATATTAAAATGAACTTTAACTATTCCTAAGATACAATTTCCAAAAAAGATAGTTTGCTAAATCCCAAAATAAATTTGTTTAAAATACCGAAACAATTCAAGTTCTGACAGAATAATCTATTAATAATTTTAAGCAGACAAAACGAAATATAATGTTTGGATAATACAAATTGTTGGTTTACCAAGCACTTTGCCAAACCAAATAATTTTTCTAATCTTTTCTGTATTCTCGACATTAAACTCAAAACTTATGTTTAAAAAAATACTGATACTGAGTTCCAGTTAGAAAACCCAATATTTTCTAATTGGCTGAATAATCTGAGCGAACTTAACCGTGTCAATTAATTATTTCAATGTCATCAGTTACCCATAGGAAATCCAGTCAAATGCTTGAGCAGTGAGAATTTTACAAATTGCTTCCCATAAGCCAAAGTGCAGGCAAATGTTTTAAGAACGCGCGCTTATAGCGTCCGTCTCTTTCTACCTCTGCATTGCCGTCTTTTTTCCTCTACCAGCCAAGCTGGAACTTGAAACTTTATAAAAAAAACTGGTTTTGCGGGTTTTATGTAAATTGCTGCCATATGAGCACGGCTAGCAGCGTGCGCCCCAACGAAATATATATATATATTTCTCGGATATATCGTTGCTTTCTTGTTGTTTTTATTTTCTTCGGAGTTTGTGTTCTGTTTCGGCGGAGGCCCCACATTCCACTTCGATCCATCGAGTTCCGAGTACCGGGTCTCCGCATTATTATTATTTTGTTTTTTCCGCTCCCTCTATGAGATTCGATTCTCCGCCGCACAGCTGTTTTTCTGACTGTTTTTTCGTTTAGGCCAGGGCGTTGACACGCCCAGCTAAAGCTTACCTGCCAGTGCAGGGGTCTTAAAGTACACAAAATGTATAATAAAAGCAATAGCTTTCCTCAGCTGTTTTTTTCCGCCTACTTAGCCCGATTTAGTTTTTGCTGATTTCAATTCAATTCGGATATTCGGATATCGATGGATTTTATTTGCCTTCCGCGTTTCGGGGGTAGTTTTCTTTCATCAGACAGCAGCCGGCACACCCTCAAAATGTGTGGTGGTGTGCGTCTGCCTATAGGTGTGCGCTAGTGTGTGTGTAAGCGGAAAATTCGCCTCGACAGCAGAGGAGGTTCCCCGATGTCAGGACCAAAATTGCACGTCTAGACAACGTTTTGCAATATATTTGTTGGCATTTTGTACTACTTTTTTCCCACAGTTTTCTCTATTTTTTTTAGTTGGAGGGATTTAGTGGGATTTTGGCCAGTGTCTGCTGTTAGTTTTAGGCTCTGAAAAGCTTACCAAGTGTTTGTCTAGCGGATTTGCCTACGGCTCAAAGCGAACTGAAAAGTAGCAGAAACTAATAAAAAGCAGCTGGAAGTTGGGAAAACTATAAAGTAAAAAACATTATTTACAAAACTGTGAACAATTTAAGCATGAGTATAAAAATGTATTAGGTACCAGTAACATAGTTTTTATTATATTTCACTATATTTGAGGTCTTTAAAAAAGGAAATAAAGAACTTTTAGAATTTAATAAAGGCTGTGGAGTTAAAAAAAATGGTAAAGTTAATAAGTTCTCACAACAAGAAACCAAGAAACCAGAGGCAGAATTAAAATATAAACCATTCTTAGGTAGGTTCTTTTAATACTTAATATAAGAACCGAGAAAAAGTAATACAAAAATTCTCAAGAAAATAAATAAACAAATTCTTCTCAGGTTTTATGGTCAATTCAACATTGTTAGAGTTTTTGCTTTATTCTTGGCTTCACGACGTTGTTTAGTGACTCATGTTAGTGGTTGAAATCCAGTTTTTGGAGCCCCCCTGCCCATTTTCCTCCTACCTACTTTGCAGACTCAATCACGAAGCATTGTTCGCTCAGCGAAAATCAGTAGCCGTCGAACATTATATATGCCCAAAACTGTATTTTTAACATTTGCATAAATGATTTGCACGCCACAGAAATACTCGATATGCCACTTAACCCAAAGAAAGTGTAACCAGAAAGATTTCGGTTAATTGAATTTGTGCATGGAAAGCGAAGCGGACAAAATTAAAAAAAAAGTAGTAATAATATTGTACATTTATAATGCGAAAATCATAGGCTGCCCCTTGTCCATTTTCTTGGCTAATAACTACGTCGATCGAGCGCGTGGCAAAGCGGGTCAATTGTGGGGCCTGCATAAGCCAACAAGCAACAAGCGCCAGTCGTCAGTAATACGAAAAAAAAATGGAAAAAAAAACTTTCTTTGCATTTTTCGTTGCCCATTTTTTTATGTACGAGATTTTCACTTTAATTAAATTTAAAGCATGCGCCGTCCACTGCGACTCGTTGCTTTGCATATGCAAAAAAATAAAAAAGAAGTTGTGGGCCACAAAAACTTGGTTAAATAAATTCACTTTTTGTTAAGTATTTATTTCGACATTTGAATTTGATGGGAATTTCTTTTTTGGGAAAACACCCCGCCCACATATCTCGGTTTTCCTTCCTCTCGCTCACTCTTTTTCTCTGCGGCAGCTCTTGGTTTTTCTTGTGTCTACAGAGTGGGCCTAAAAATAGTCTGTGTTTTGGTAATTTCAAATTGCGTCGGTCTAGACTAAGTATATTGAATTAATGATGATTTTGATGCGAGAAAATTTGGGAGAGATTTAAAAACATAGCATTGAAATCGATGATATGTTTTTAATTCGCAAAGTAAAGCTTATTTCACCATATTACTTAAATTTTAAATATCTTACGATTGAATCATGAAAAATATTATTACATAAAAAATATAATTTGTCACCAAAAAAACTCCCAAACAACCCTTTTGTAGAGCATTTAATCGTAAGTACTGTATAGATGTAGAACTGTAGCCTTTTGTTCTAACTTATCTGTGTCTAATTTGCTGTCTCCATGAATAATTTGTCTCCATTGAAGTGCTGTGCCATGTCGTACCCTATATAATCAGCTGGTTTTCTAGAGCGTTTTTCAGTATCTTGCAAACCGATGACTGACCGGCTCTTCTCCACTTTTTTTCAACCCATCCCCGCCGTTCCAGACCTCGGTCCTCCACTTGGCGTTCAATGCCATCGCGTCGAGTGCAGCTGTTTAATGTTGTTGAGCACTGTGTAAATAATTTTCATGCAATTTGTGCTGCTGCTGTTGATCGTTTTTGATCAGTTTTCACATGACATT